ATATTCATTATTTTAATTATTATTTGCCTGATTTTGTAACTACCATTTGTTTGGGGTTCATCTTTGGTTTCTCATTTTTGGATATCTGTTTTATCTCACTTAATGCCATAAAAAACCACTTGTGGAATCTTCATTCCTGACTAGAAGTCAAGCCCTGAGCTTTTGGAGGGGGAGCACTGACTCCAAGACCCTAGATTATGAGAAAACTAATCGGAGGGAGTATCAAATAGTGAGAACTCACACAAAACATCACCCAACCACCAGCAGCACCCACTGCAGGACGCCTCATCTAAACAACAAACAAAACAAAAATACAGACCCAGTCATCAGCAGACAGGATCCCCACCTCACTCAGCCTTGCCCGTCAGAGGAAAAGCAAACGAACACTCACCACAAATCTCACCCTACAGGAAGCTTACACAAACCACTGGACCAACCTTAGGAGGGCATAAATCAAAAGGAAGAAAGAATTCAACCTTGAAGCCTGGGAAAAGGAGACCTCAAATACAAGTTTAAAAAAAAAAAAATCAAAAAGGCAGAGAAATACTACACAAATGAAGGAACAAACTAGAAACACAGAAGTCCAAATAAATGAAGAGGAAATAGGCAAGCTACCTGAAAAAGAATTCAGAAAAATGATAGTAAAGATGATCAAAAACCTTGAAAACAAAATGGAGAAAATGAAAGAATCAATTAACAAAGACCTAGAAGAATTAAAGAATAAACATACAGAGACAAGCAAAACAAGTACTGAAATTAAAAATAAAAGGAATCTATAGCAGATATCTGAAGCAGAAGAACAAATCAGTGAGCTGGAAGATAAAATGGTGAAAATAACTTCTGAAGAGCAGAATAAAGTAAAAAGAATGAAAAGATCTGAGGATAGTCTCAGAGACCTCTGGGACAATGTCAAATGCACCAACACCCAAATGCAGAAGAATACACCTTCTTCTCAAGTGCACATGGAACATTCTCCATGATAGAGTGCATCTTGGGTCACAAATCAAACTTCAGTAAATTTAAGAAAATAGAATTCGTATCAAGCATCGTTTCTGACCACGATGCTATGAAACCAGATATCAGTTACAAGAAAAAAAACTGTAAAAAACATAAACACATGGAGATTAAACAACACGTTTCTAAATAACCAACAGACTACTGAAGAAATCAAAAGGAAAATAAAAAAATTTCTAGAAACAAATAATGAAAACATGACAACTCAAAACCTATGCAATGCAGCAAAAGCAGTCCTAAGAGGGAAGTTAACAGCAATACAATCCTATATCAAGAAATAAGAAAAACATCGAATAGACAATCTAACTTTACACCTAAAACAACTGGAAAAAGAAGACCAAAAAACCTCCAAAGTTAGTAAAAAGAAAGAAATCATAATGATCTGAGCAGAAATAAATGAAAAAGAAATGAAAGAAACAATAGTAAAGATTAATAAAACTAAAAGCTGGTTCTTTGAGAAGATAAACAAAAATTGACAAACCTTTAGCCAGACTCATCCAGAAAAAAGACAGAGAAGAGTCAAATCAACAAAATTAGAAATGAAAAAGGAGAGGTTACAACAGACAATGAAGAAATACAAAGGATTATAAGAGACTATTATGAACAACTATATGGCAGTAAAATGGATATCCTGGAAGAAATGGACAGATTCTTAGAAAAGTTCAATCTTCCAAGACTGAACCAGGAAGAAATACAAATTACGAACAATCCAATTACAAGCACTGAAATTGAAGCTGTCATCAAAAATCTCCCAAAAAACAAAAGCCCAGGATCAGATGGCTTCACAGGAGAATTCTATTAAAGATTTATAGAAGAGCTAATACCCATTCTTCTAAAACTCTTTCAAAAAATTGCAGAGAAAGGAATACTTCCAAACTCATTTTACAAGGCTACCATCACCCTGATACCAAAACCAAACAAAGACAACACAAAAAAAGAAAACTACAGGCCAATATCACTGATGAATATAGTGAAAAAATCCTCAACAAAATGTTAGTAAACAGAATTCAGCAACACATCAAAAAGCTTATACACCATGATCAAGCTGGGTTTATTCCAGGGATGCAAGGATTCTTCAATATATGCAAATCAGTGTGATACAACATATTAACAAATTTAAAGATAAAAACCATATGGTAATTTCAATAGATGCAGAAAAAGCCTTTAACAAAATTCAGCACCCATTTATGATTAAAACTCTTCAAAAAATGGGCATAGAAGGAACCTACCTCAACATAGTAAAGGCCATCTATGATAAACCTACAGCAAACATTATTCTTAATGGTGAAAAACTGAAAGCATTTGCCCTAAGATCAGGAACAAGACAAGGGTGTCCACTTTCACCACTATTATTCAACGTAGTTCTGGAAGTCCTAGCTAGAGAAATCAGAGAAGAAAAAGAAATAAGAGGAATGCAGATCGGAAAAGAAGAAGTAGCATTCACTGTTTGCAGATGACATGATACCGTACATAGAAAGCCCTAAAGATAGTATCAGAAAATTACTAGAGCTAGTTAGTGAATTCAGCAAAGTTGCAGGATACAAAATCAATACACAGAAATCACTTGCATTTCTATATACTGACAATGAAAAATCAGAGAAACTAAGGAATCCCATTCACCATTGCAACAAGAAGAATTAAATATCTAGGAATAAACTTACCTAAGGAGACAAAAGAACTGTACACAGAAAATTATAAAACTCTGATGAAAAAAATCAAAGATGACATAAACAGATGGAGAGATATTCCAAGTTCCTGGGTAGGAAGAATCAATATTGTGAAAATGATACTAACAAATGTAATCTACAGATTCAATGCAATCCCTATCAAATTACCAGTGACATTTTTCACAGATTGAGAACAAAATATTTCACAATTCATATGGAAACACAAAAGATCCCGAATAGCCAAAGGAATCTTGAGAAAGAAGAACGCAGCTGGAAGAATNAGAATGGTCATCATCAAAAAGTCTACAAACAATAAACACTGGAGAGGGTGTGGAGAAAAGGGAACACTCTTGCACTGTTGGTGACAATGTAAATTGATACAGCCACTATGGAAGACAGTATGGAGATTCCTTAAAAAAATTAGGAATAAAACCACCATATGACCCAGTAATCCCACTCCTAGGTATACACCCTGAGGAAACCAGGGTTGAAAAAGACACATGTATCTCACTGTTCATTGCAGCACTATTTACAATAGCTAGAACATGGAAGCAATCTAGATGCCCATCAACAGATGAGTGGATAAAGAAGTTGTGGTACATATACACCATGGGATATTACTCAGACATAAAAAGAACACACTTGAGTCAGTTCTGATGAGGTGGATGAACCTAGAACCTATTATGCAGAGTGAAGTGAGTCAGAAAGAGAAAGATAAACATTGCATTCTAAAACATATGTATGAATCTAGAAGAATGGTACTGAAGAACTTATTTTCAGGGCAGCAGTGGAGAAACAGACATAGAGAATAGACTTATGGACGTGGGGAGAGGGGAGGAGAGGGTGAGATGTATGGAGAGAGTACCATGGAAACTTACATTTCCGTATGTAAAATAGAGAGCCAACGGGAATTTGCCATATGACTCAGGAAACTCAAACAGGGGCTCTGTATCAACCTAGAGGGGTGGGATGGGGGGAGATGGGAGGGAGGTTCAAAAGGGAGGGGACATATGTATACCTATGGCTGATTCATGTTGAGGTTTGACAGAAAACCGCAAGATTCTGTAAAACAATTATCTTTTAATTAAAAAATAAATAAATTTTAAAAAACAAAATTAAAAAAAAATAGTAAACCGCAAAACTTTCCCTCTTCCATCCAAAGAAAGATAAGAGAAGGAAGGTGAATGGAAATATTCATATTAGATTTCATTTATACTATTACTCGCCTATGAATCTTCTAGGCGGAGGCTAGGAAATGACACAGCCTAAAACAAAAGCAAGAATGCTGGTCACTGATCATGTTGATCATTTTATACTCAGGAACAACACACACGCTGTAGAAGTATTTACACACAACAATGAGTCATATTTCCTGACTTACGCACAGTGGGCTAACTCACAGTTTTTCTCTTTCAAAAAAGCATTTTCCAGTAAAATAACATGAGATTTCTAATTATGGCAACTACATCCATCCGAACTAGTTTGTTGAAAAAATAATCCTTGACTCAGGGAACTCAAAACGGGACTCTGTGACAACCTAGAGAGGTGGAATGTGGGAAGGAGGTTCAGGGGGGACGTATGTATACCGATGGCTGATTCATATTGATGGATGCAATGGACATGAACTTGGGCAAACTTTGGGATGGTGACGGACAGGGAGGCCTGGCGTGCTGCAGTCCATAGGGGTGCAAAGAGTTGGACATGACTGGGCAACAGTCACGAACAACAACGTGGCAGAAACCAACACAACGTCGTAAAGCAATCATCCTTCAATTCAAAATAAATAAATAAGAAAATAATCCTTCATAAACATCTTAAAATTTGCTAGTATTACCAGTGTGATTGACAAGCACCTTGTGACTGATCAAGGCACCCAGTGGTGCCAAAACAGATGAGTTGAGAACCATGCCCTGAACCCTAGCATCACGAACAAAAACAGAGTCAGGAAGAGAACAAAAGATATAGAGACAGTTCTGATGTGTTGATTTTTCCTTGGTTAATTATTAACTCATCATTTTCAAATGATATTTGGAGCAGCAGCTTAAAAAAAAAATCTTTTCCCGCCTTTGTGTCTAGACCTGGGTGAGACCTGAACAGCCGTTCGTTCCCTCTCACTAGCAGGGGGGCCACGTTGGTCATACTTAGCTGGAAGGTATAATTTAGTATCAGTGACATGTTAGTGGCTACAGCAAGAAGACAATGCAGATAACTCATGTAACTATACTTTAATAAACTGTGTCTTGGAAAAGAAATGTTAACTTATTTCAAAAAAATAAGCCAGCCTCCCTCTGCCCCTCCAAACCCTTTGGTGACACATACCAAACGCTGCCAATTCAGGCTCCTTTTTCCACTTGCCCAGCGAGGCGGGCGGGTTTGGCCAGATGACGGTGGTATGCAACAGCAGGTCTCCCATGCTCAGATCTGCAACCTGAAATCCAGGGCAAAGCTTACTGGGTAATGTCATAAACACTCAAGACATGCATGAGATTTCAAAATTCGACAGGCTGGTGTCAATCTGACTTCATGAAAAAATGCCTCTAAATAATGTCTGCCATCTGGTCATCTTTTTCCCCTTTAATCTGTGTTTGCATACCAGAATTCCAAGAATATGGTGGCCAAAAGATACAAATAGGGTTTCTGAAATTCACATGCAGTAAAGCTATCAAAGGGCTTCCCTAGTGGTTCAACGATGAAGAATCTGCCCGCAATGCAGGAGGCTCGGGTTCGATCCCTGGAGAACAATATGGCAACCCACTCCAGTATTCTTGCCTGGGAAATCCCATGGACAGAGGAGCCTGGTAGATAGAGTCCATGGGGTCGCAAGAGTCGAATACAACTTAGCAGCTCAACAACAAAAGACCTGTCAAAACTGATGAATGAAATCACAGAGGTTTGGTGTTCAAATAGACAGTTACCCAAAGGGAACCAATGGTCACCCATGACAAAGATCCAGGAAACTACAGACACTGCCACCTGTGAATTTAAGTCCCTTTGGAGCAAGGGTCTTCTGGGAAGCAGTGCAATCTTTTCATGTCTTCTTCTTCTGACTCATCTTAACAAACATTTCATTTCACTTTAGAGGAGGAAAAAGAAGCCAACTGAGGTGTCTTCTGACTCATCTTAACAAAGATTTCATTTCACTTTAGAGGAGGAAAAAGAAGCCAACCGAGGTGCTGGGAGATTGTTCTTTAAGCTTGTACAGTGTGAGCTCTGGGGTCCTTAGAAACCACAAGGTCTACTCTCGCAGCCTTAGGTCAAATGCTAAGCCCTCTCAGATGGACAAGGTCCCCTTGTCCTTACAGAGACATGATAATCCTCAGATTCCACCAGTGTCCGTGCCCAACAACTGTCATGTGTGTCTTTTTCACTGGAGCTGCTGACCACTTCCACGTCTATCAAAATCTCATCCTCCCACCCACTCAGCAACCTAATCACAGATGTGAGGATCATCTGGTCCCTCCATGTGGCTCCCTGAGCAAACATGTCAGAGGATGCGGCTTTGCAACAACCAGACTCCAAGGTCCATCCCACTGGGCAACCCCATCAATTGTGAGGAGGGTCTTCCTCCAATATGCCCCCCTGGAGCCCTCGCCCACCAGCCTCTCACTTTTACTCTGTGTCCATAGAAAGGAAGCCTGATCCTTCTCCCTCAAAGCAGCAATGTGAATATTTGAAAACTTGATGTTGCATTTCTCAAGGACAGATGGCTCTGGTTTATTTTGCTGCTTTTGATCTGAGTTTCTAGATATGTCAGTCACCAAGCAGCTCTCCATAGAGCATGGTGCCATTTAATCACCACTCTAGGCTGCAGTGCTGGAAATGGGGCTCCGGCAGTATACAATACAGTTGGTACTATTGCCATTATAATGATCAAGATCACTACAATAATAATAATTACTCTAATTACTATTGAGCTGTATTATTAGTTACATGGTCAGTCGTTAAAAACATTATGCAATTATATTACTTTGTTCATATTAAGTAACTAGTCAACTACACCCCCAGGGCAGTATCCACTAAGAGAACAGTACTGCTTACTCTAAGTATTGCCTAGACTCACCACTGATCTTGGCGCAGTACACACTATTTCCCCAGGACCGTTCTCCCTAGAGTTTTACATTTGTGGATTCAAGACCACTCCATCCTTTCCAGTTTGAACACCATTCTTTTCAATGGAGGGAAAAAAAAGACATCAAGTGGATTTGAGTCGTTTTCTTTGGGTCATCAGCCATCTTTGGTTATGATACTTCTAGCCCCTGGCAGTGGTCTTTTTCTTTCTTATTCTTCCTATAGGGCTAAGACATAATCTTCTGTTGCTCTCTTTGGCATCTTCTCCAAGCTTTCATTTTTGTGATCTTCAGACACCCTACTACTGATACAGGACTTTCCTACCCCGTAACACTGGTATGTGGTCAAAGGTCCCTCCTTACATCTTGTGCACATTTTTACCCTAACAAAATCTCTGCTCACAAGAGACTGCTTTGCATAGCTCTACATCTCTTTGTTCCTTGCTGGAAAGATTTCTTACTTGGTTGATAGAATTTTCTTTTGGAGGTTGGGCAGTTCCACCAAAGCCATATACCCTTTTATAGACTGACTTGTGAATCATAGTCAGCTTTTTTTCTAAAGTCTTTGCAATCTGCTATCCATATTACCTTCTAGTCTTTGGCATAATAGTCCTTTGCTCTCAAGATCATTAAAATTTAGAAATCAATTTGGAATATAATGAAATGCACTGAAATTGTTCATTTCCATGACTCAATAAAATTCACTTCTGTCAAAATGAAATAAACTAAAATACAGGATACAAGCCTTATAATTCTGAAGTATTATTCATAGTCGTCAAATGAAGCCAAGAGAAATACTTGACAATAGGAATTAAGCAAGTCTTTGTTCAATCACACAGTATAATATTACACAATCATTTCAATGATCCTTTTGAATCATGTAAAGTAATGTGAAAATTAAATAATTCTTTGTTCAACATAAAAAAACTCAAGGTACAAAATAACTTCCAAAATATTCACGAATACATATGGAATTATATTCAGTATTCAAGTATATAATAAACGTATTTTTAAAAAAATAAACCCAAACATCAAGAGGTAAGTTTTGTGTTCTGAGATTGTAGGTAGTTTTAATTCTTGCCTTTTTCTGTAGCTTGTTCTTTTCTTAAATGAACATAGTGCATTTTTCTTACTATAAAATTTTACAAGAAAATGAGAACAAAATCCAGAGAGGCATGTCTGTCTTTTCTACATTCTGATAGATTCAAGTGTCTGCCTGATAGACAGAGAACATTCACATACTCTTCCTGTAATAACATGGTAAATAAAACTGTGTTTCAGCAGAAAACTGAGCAGCCTGTTCAGTGCACCCTCTTGGGCTATCAGAGCCCAGCCCCGCATCCACATGTCTCTGAGACCCTCTGTCAGTCTCGGCGAGGTGCAGGTAACAGATACATGTGCACATTCTCTCCAGCCTGGTAGTGACTTATAACTGATTCCTCCTGCTGTAGAGAAACCCATTTGTCTGCATTTACAAACCATCTCACTGTTTCTTCGCTTCATACACACACCTGCTATTTTGACTGTCGGACTCCCTGACATCATGTGAGTAAAATACATTTCTTCATATTTGTTCGCTTTACATCTCTATGAGATGTCATTTTACCTTTTTCTGAAAATTATCTTCTTACAGTCCAAAACTTCTTTTTGTTTCACCGAGGACATAAATGGGAACCTGTTAGACAGTAACCCTTTATACCTCCAAAGCGAAGTCTGTTTTCTTTCTAGACTAAACAACCAGGTCTTATCCCCACCACCCCTCTGCCTTTCCCTCCTTTCAATCACAGCAAGAGTTTCTCCTCATAGTTCCCTCCTGGCTTGTCTCCTTTTTTGATGGAGAAAGCAAAATGAGGACAACATTCCAATCAAATCAGGAAGTATAGCAGCACTGGTGAATATCATTCCATATCATATCCGTCTGATTCATCTCAGTATTATCAGCATTGTATTCACATAAGTGCTCATCAATGATTCAGACACAACTTAGAGTTAATTTTACAGTTTTCTCAAGCATATCTGTTCCTGTGACTCTTTATTCTAAGTAGGGTTTCAGGCAGACTTAAAAAAAAAAAGATTCAGAGTTAATTTGAAACTTTCACTCATTCAGTAAATACTCATTGAGCACCTACTACATGTCAATTATTATTCTAGTCTCTGGAGATACAGCCATGACCTTTAACAGTGTTTAGAAAACCAGTCCAAGTTATGGTCATGGAAATTCACTCTCACACTTAAGAGAGAACAAAATCAGAGGTCTAGAGGGTGAAGAGAAAGAATCAGGATAGGTTTTCTATACTAAGAAATAATTCAACTGAGAAAGAAAATTCACAGTGTAGCCTTGGGTAAAAGAAGTTCTACCAATGTGGGAATGTACACTAGTATAGCCACTATGAAAATAGTTTGTAGGTTCCTTAAAGAACTAAAAATAGAATTGCCATATGGTCCAGCAAGTCCACTCCAGGCACATACCTGGAGAAAACTCTAATTTGAAAGGATACATGCACACCAATGTTCATAGCAGCACTGTTTACAAAACTCAAGACATGGAAGCAACCTAAGTGTCTACTGACAGATGAATGGATAAGAAGATGTGTGTGCATATATATACATATACATATATATAGACACACATATATTCACTCATATAATATATATAATATTCCAGTGTGATATTACTTAGCCATAATAAAGAATGAAATAATGCCATTTCCAGCAAAATGGATGGACCTGAGAGTATCTGGTCATGGAAATTCACTCTCACACTTAAGAGAGAACAAAATCAGAGGTCTAGAGGGTGAAGAGAAAGAATCAGGATAGGTTTTCTATACTAAGAAATAATTCAACTGAGAAAGAAAATTCACAGTGTAGCCTTGGGTAAAAGAAGTTTTACCAATGTGGGAATGTACACTGGTATAGCCACTATGAAAATAGTCTGTAGGTTCCTTAAAGAACTAAAAATAGAATTGCCATATGGTCCAGCAAGTCCACTCCAGGCACATACCTGGAGAAAACTCTAATTTGAAAGGATACATGCACACCAATGTTCATAGCAGCACTGTTTACAAAACTCAAGACATGGAAGCAACCTAAGTGTCTACTGACAGATGAATGGATAAGAAGATGTGTGTGCATATATATACATATACATATATATAGACACACATATATTCACTCATATAATATATATAATATTCCAGTGTGATATTACTTAGCCATAATAAAGAATGAAATAATGCCATTTCCAGCAAAATGGATGGACCTGAGAGTATCATACTAATTGAAGTAAATCAGAGAAAGACAAAAATATCATATGATATCACTTATATGTAGTATCTAAAGTATGATACAAATAAACTTATCTATGAAAGAAAAAGAGACTCAGAGACATAGAAAACAAACTTACAGTTATCAAAGGGGAAGGGGGAAGGATAAAGTAGGAGTCTGAAACTAGCAGATACAAGCTACTATATATGAAATAGATGAATGACAAGACTTTACTGTATAGCACAGGGCAATATATTCAATATCTTGTAACAATCTATAATGGAAAAGAATCTATAAAAGATTATTTTATATATATTTATATTTATTATATATCTATATATACTGAATTACTTTACTGTACATGAGAAACACAATTCTATAAATAAACTATGCTTCAATTAAAAAAAAATGCCACCAACAAAAATACTATCATTGTTACTATTTTACTTACAAATAACACCTTAAAAAGAAAACCAACCCAGCTCTACAGACAAGCATGCTGGGCAGAAGAGGGGTCCTTACCTCTTTTTTCTCACCAGTCTGTTCAGCGATCAGCTGGTCAAACACAGCCCCAAATTCCTCATGGATTTTCTGCATTTCATTGATATGACTTGCAACCTTGTTCATAGTCTTGATGGCCACTGGAGGAAAACAGGTCATGAAATAAACGAAAAGACTAGTTAAAGGCTCTGGAGAGACGTGAAGAAGGGGCGGTTCTCAGGGGCTCATGGCTCACCATCCAGGTGGTAGTGTTCCTCGCTCTCCGCATCCGTCAGAGCAAAAAGCTCCTTCAGCAGAAGCGGATACTTAAGGATCCTCTGGATGGGCTTGATGAGGTAAGACTCCAGGGTGGACGAGTGCTGCTGCTTTGGGTTCTGGGCGTCTAGGAACGCCTTGAAAGCTGCATCTGTCTTGGCTGGAAGAGTTTAAATAGAGACTGTCTGGGCGGAACATCCAAATGACTCCCTTCTCACAATTTCACTAATTCCAAGGTGCCTTTTCACAGGATTGAGAGTACAGTGAATGGTCAGAGAAGGCCTGCCCATCAGATTTATTTGCTTATTTAGGGGGAGTGAGCAGAGGTCCAATGAGTTAGCAGCGGTCGCCAACATTTTTGGCACCAGGGACTGATTTTGAGGAAGACAACTTTTCCCTAGATTGGGGAGGAGGGGATGGTTTGGGGATGATTCGAGTACATTACATTTATTGTGCACTCTGTTTCTATTATTATTACATCAGTTCCACCTCAGATAACCAGGCATTAGATCCCAGGGGTTGATGACTCCTGAGTTGAGTGGTAACAGAGTCTGTAAGTCCTACGCACAGAGGTTTTCAAGGGTTGCTGTTGAATGTCTTCTTAATCTGGTATTTCGACATCAAAGGCCTGATAGACCCGGGAGAGACTGCCTGTCCTAGAGCTAGTTGGTCCCTACAGATAGCCTAGGAACCACCTGGAAGCATGCCTTTCACACACAAACCAACCAATCCAGAGCCCCTGCCTCCATCTCTCTTCTATGAGGCTTTTACAACTCTAGGCCAATATTCCCCCTGCGCTAAGCATCCCAGAGCCAGGCCCCAGAGAACTCAGGACAGCCCTCCCACCCCAGAGCCTGCCGAGATTATTCAAATTAGCCAATCCTAAGCCTGTCTGCCCTGATTCACCCATTCCTTCCTGCAGACGCCACAACAGAGCACCTTGCCTATGTCTTCCCCTCGCTCATTCTGCCTCCTGGTGGGCCCTGGTGCTTCCTCTCATGGCCTTGCACTATGTGACCCTCTCCCCTCTTGGGAACCGTGAAGAACACACAATCTTTCTTTTAAGTAAAAGAAATTATTTGTTTGGCTGTGCTGGGGTTTTTAGTTGTAGCATGCGGACTCAGCTGTGGCATGCAGGATCTAGATCCCTGACCACGGATCGAACCTGGTTCCCTTCATTGGAAGTGCAGTGTCTTAGCCACTGGACCACTAGGGAAGTCCCATAAATTTCTGATGGTAATTGTCTCCTGATCTGTTGGCCTAGCCACAGGTGAATAATACAAAAGCCTGCATCTTCAAACACCACTTACCCCAGTTTTTCTAATTTTTCAAGCATTTCATTGCTGATAGAACCTCTTTTGAGAAGAGGAAGGGAAAAAAGCAGCAGCAGCAGTACCTTGCAGCTGGGTAAGTGGGGCAGAGCTGGTCTCCTGCAGGGAACGCCTTTTAAGACCTGCTCTGTGTTAATGCAGTGCTACCAGCTATCAGGATTTATCTCAGAGGGAAACATACAACTGACCTCAGGTAACACGGGCAGCAGTATCCTCACGGGCTGGGCTTTTATCTGTGTCCCAGCTAGGCTGAAAAATCAGCCCTGGGGAGTTGTGGGCCCCCAGACAATCAGACTGGTATCTGCCAGTGGACAGTCAGGAAGACACAACGTGTCTTTCCAAAGAAATGGTGGAAAGAGAGGCTGAACTGAGGGCAAAAATGGGAAGAAGAATGGACAATATATTAAAATGACTAACTGTAGGCATATACTTTTTTAAGCTTCTGATAAAATATATTGCCATCTCCAAAAATTAGGAATGTGAGCTAAGAACAAAAGATAGGGCTTCCCTGGTGGGCCAATGGTTAAGAATCCACCCTGCAATGCAAGGTACATGGGTTCAGCCCCTGGTAAGGAAGATCCCACATGCGGAGGGGCAGCTAATCCCATGGGCTAGAACCTCCGAGCCCACGCACTGCGACTACTGAAGCCCTCTCACCTACAGCCTGAGCTCTGCAACTAACGAACCCACTGCAATGAGCAGTCTGCCCACTACAGTGAGAGACAGTGCTCACACACCAAGGAAGGCCCAGCACAGCCAAAGGAAAAACAAGAACAGACGAGACTGCAAAAGGACATCGTGAAATCAGAGAATGAGTCTTCTCACTCTCTTTATTCAATTAAGAAAAACAGCAGTCATGGGGAAAGACCTTGTAACACTACCATCTTCTCAGCCATTTTAAGGCCCATCAAGAGGAATCAGATTCCATGGATCCAGCCGCCAAATCCATGACGAGAAAGGAGACTGGGAATGAAGTGGTTGCAAAGCAGCCCAGGTGGGTACTTCCTATTCTCAAAGAGTTCTCTTTATCATATCTGCATATTGGGCCATCAGAAAAATGTGGGTCATACCCTAACAGTTTAAGGGATGATTCTGAAAGACTCTAATATTTTTCAGGTGCAAAATATAATGATTTTGAATTTTTGAAAATCTACAGGGGCAGAATTTAATCAAGTGAGTAAAAATAACACAAATTGCTTTAAGGACTGTGATGAGTATATAATTTTACCAGAGAGCAAAGAGCTCTGAAATTGTTAACACTCTCATAACACAGCATTCAGTTAGAGTTTAAAAAGAAATACATACACAGAATTATATGACCAGTGCATATAAAACCACACAGCAGGACAATTTCCTTGTCATATAGCTGGACAAGGAAATTCCCAGGTTCCCTTTAAGTTTTTATGCTGAAGTAGGACTCTCTTGCCTGGACTGAAACTATCATTAAGTATGTCATTAAGTATGTCATTATCTGGGGCAGGATCTTTTGCTATACAGAGACCTGTGTTGTTTCATCTTTATTATAATAAGTTTTAAATTAAATCAAGCTAGTTCTCTTTGGCAGCAAACACAAATGTAAATACATTACTTACATACTCAGCAGGTGTTTACATGGCAGCCACATGCTAAGGTGTAAAAGTAAGAGCAGGCTGATTTCCAGAGATCCTTTGAAACTGAACTTTCTATAGATTCTACTGTTTACCAAGGGCATATTTCTCTCGTCCCTTAACCTATCAAAGTCACATGCAGAACTATGGAAGAGAAACAGCTTTTTAGTGACTCTCAGAACACCCACCACCTTCTTAGAACACAGGAACAGGAGCTTGCCAATATAGAACTTCTGCTCTTCTCTGTGCAAAATGAAATTACAGCTGGACTTTTGTAAATAACTGAAAAAATTTTAGTAGTGATGGTGGTGACTATTATCACACACAAGGGAACAAAAATAGGTGAGGGAAAGATGAAATGACACAAAAAAGTGTATGAACTGTGGTAGGTTATTATGAAACTAATGAAAATAAAAATAAAGTAGGGAATTTCTAAATCCCCTATGTTTTTGCATAATTGCAAAATGACTTATCAATTCTGGCCCCAAAGAGCTGAGTCAAAACTTTCATGATAAGAAAACTGACAACACTATTAACTCAAGATATTAATGCATTTACTTTCTCAGTATTGTTAGCACTCCATATCTAAGGATTCTACATCCACAGGTTCTGCATCGTGGATTCAACCAATGATGAAGAGGAAATAGTTGGGAGAAAAATTCCAGAAAGTTCCAAAAAGCAAAACTTCAATTCGCTGCCTACTGACAACGATTCACATGGCACTTATACTGTATAGGGCTTTCCTGGTATCTCAGATGGTAAAGAATCTGCCTGCAATGCTGGGAGCCTGGGGTCGATCCCTGGGTTGGGAAGATCCCCTACAGAAGGAAATGGCTACCCACTCCAATCTTCTTGCCTAAAAACATCCCTGGACAGAGAAGCCTGGCGGGCTACGGTTCAGGGGTTTACAGAAGAGTTGGACACGACTGAACAACTGAGCACACACATATATGGGAAAATATGCATAGGTTATGTGCACACAATATGCGTTTTACATAAGACACTTGAGCATCCCAGACATTTGGTGTCTGCGGGGGATCCTAAAACCAATACCCCACAGACACCGGAGAGACAAGTGTACTCTCACTTGTAGCTTGCTGGAATATCTATCTGGCACAACAGTGACTCTTGGATTTCCATCCAGAAGCCCCCGCCCACGGTCAGCCACACAAATATGAATTGACAATTAACACGCCCACCTGCTGCCCAGGCCTCCTGGGCCTTACCTTTCACCAGGACCTTGGGGACCTTCGTGTGGCTGGCGCAGAAGGCACTGTAGAGCTTGAAGCGGTCAGCGTAATACAGAAAGGATCCCCCCAGAGAGAACAGCACTTTCTGGATACAATGAGAAACAGTGCAGTGAGTCTGCGGTCCTCCTCACCCAGAAACATCAGCAGGATGGAGCCGGGAGCTCACACCTGCCAGTCTCCCCACAAACCGGCACCATCCCCACCTGTCTCTGCCTGTCTTTGCTCACTGATGGCCTATTGGAAAGCCTATGGGCTCACCTTTTTGTGTAATAGATGCTGTATTTGGCTCTCAGTAATTACAGCCAGTGTCACTGGTTTTGCTGGCTTATGTCTTTCAATGACCTAGCTGGGATGTCTGACTGTTAATGAGAAAGTAGATATAGCATTTTGGAAAAAACAGAAATCTCCTGAATTCCCTCATTAGATTTTGCTGGGATGTAGAAGTGACAAACCAAATAAAGGCAAGAAATGCATAAATCCCCCAAAATAGAAAACACCTTTCCGTGACCACTAATTCCACCCTCTCCAGCACCATACTCTTCTCTAGCAAGAGTAGATATGAATGGAAGGAACAGATCCACCTATGGGAATTAGGTAATCTCTCCCAGCCCACAGCCTCTGCCCAAACCGGATCAAAACTAGGGGGAGGCCTTCCCTGTTAGGGCTTCCCTGACAGCTCAGCTGGTAAAGAATCTGCCTGCAATGCAGGAGACCCCGGTTCAATTCCTGAGTCAGGAAGATCCACTGGAGAAGGGATAGGCTACCCACTCCAGTGTTGTTGGGCTTCCCTTGTGGATCAGCTGGGAAAGAATATGCCTGCAATGCAGGAGACCTGGGTTCAATCCCCGGGTCCAGAAGATCCCCTGGAGAAGGGAAAGGCTACCCACTCTGGCCTGGAGAATTCCATGGACTATATAGTCCATGGGGTCGCAAAGAGTAAGACATTGAGTGAGTGACTTTCACTTTCTTCCCTATTAGGAATTTAATATAGCTCAGCTGGATACTTTTTATCCTACACATTTTCTATAAATATATGAAACAGGCCTCAGAAAAATATCTTCTATAGGTTTCACACTGATCTAGTCTAGTTTAGAAAGAGGTATGGCTTATTTAGGTTTAGAATTTAAAAGTTGGATTCCAAGCCAAAAAAAAAAAAATTAATAATAATAATAATAATAAGGCTGTGGATTCGAGTGATAAATTGGGTTCCACAAAATGCAATTTATTTTAATTAACAATGCAGAGAATTCTGATAGTCTAATTAAAAGAAAACAAAGGTTTATTATGCACCATACATAATTGGTAATTAGAGGCCTAAATTCATTTCCTACATGTTCTACTTTTCCTCCTTTACTTTTTCAGCTACACGCCTCCCCAAATCTCATCCCCCTGACCCTGTACAGACAGTCATCCTTTGAACCAAATCCAATAATTAAACGAGAAAAATTGTGTAAGAAAAAGCTCTAAATGTAACCCCCCACTTTAGCCACATCAAGTTATCCATTTGTTTAACTTAATATAAATTCACTAGGCATTTACCATATAGGAAACACAGAACATTAACATGTCCATTTCTTCTTCCAGCCTTAAAAAATAATCTCTGAGCACAAACTGTCCACCAACATGGCGGGTGGACACACAAAGACTGCATTTACCCCGTGTTTCTATTCAGGAGGACTTCACAGAGCCTCTTGCTGCCTGACAGACACTGCAAATTCCCAAGAGCAAGTTTTATCAAAACTTACTTGATCTCAGAACCGATTTTTTTTTTTAACTAATCCTGTTGCAGGGCTAGTGTTCTATGCAACACAATTTGCACCTTTTTAACAAGCTTTGTAATTTTTGGCAAATATATAATCAGGATTTAAACGAAACAGCAATCACAGAAACCAGGAGCAGCAGGCTTAGGAAACCAGCAACTGAGAAACCAACCCAGAAGTGCCCGAGAGCAGCCCCGTGGCCGCGAATATTCAGGGAGCATCAGCTGTCACGTCTCACAGACGGGATGGAGACGGTCAGGTTATGCAGGAAATCAGTGAAACGAAGGTCGGAGAAGAAGCTTCCACTTAAATGGTATTTACAGCAGTGACTGCGCCAGAGTGAACTTGCTCAAAGGATCATTTGCTAATCCCTCCCTGGAATAATATCTCTGCTTGCAACACCATCATGTTCGTATCACAGTTCTGATAACTAAACACTCCTAAAGTGATCAACAGAATCTAAACACAAAGAACTGTTGTCACAGCAAAAGCATGCTAAATGAAGATCAGAATGTTCGGTATTTTAGATTAAAGCCAAACATTTGCAGGTCTGTATGCATTTTTGTTATGTTCCACAGTAAGCAACTTTTTTGATTAACTGACAAACTACTAGCCCTTATCATGGTGTTCTAATAGTGTCCTATTAATTAATTTACCAATGAGCCAAACTGTATTTGAAATGGACAGTATGCCCAATGACCCTGAGGAGGGGAAAACTGAACTAACCCAAGAAATTCCGAAAAAAAAAAATTTAAAAACTATATTTGGTAGTTAAAGGGGTATTATACCTGTCATTTATTCAAATGGTTCAGGAGAAAAAATTATACATTTTGTACACATAGACACACACAACATACACACACACACACACACACACACATATTAGGGAGCCAGAGAAAGGATAAAGCAAATGTGGTCAAATGTTAACATTTGGAAAATATGGGAGAAGAATAGCTTAGAATTCTTTGTGCTATTCTTGTAACCTTTCTGTAAGTCTGAAATTATATCCAAATAAAAATAGAGAACTATATATAAATATAGGTCCATAAGCTTATGTGTATGAAAGTATGTGTGCATTCTAAATGACTCCTGTTTCAGAGAAGGACTGTAAAGAGATGACACACAGAAAAATATATCAAAGGATAGTCTTCATCTCATCCTACAAACCTGTCAGGTGTACTAACCTGACACAGCCAGATGCCCGCACCGTTAGAAGGCAGTCACAGGGTACGGGGGCCACACCTGTACGGACAACTGAACCCAAGTTCAACACAAGTGCAAGAGTTACTCAATGGAAAGAGATTGAGGATAGTCATTTCAAAAACCAGTGCTGGAAATATTAAATATTCATATACAAAAAGTTGACTTTGAGTCACCCACCACACCAGATAAGAGACTAATATGTAAGTCCCCAAGTCACAAAACTTCTAGGAGAAAACCTTTATGACCCTGCTTTAGGCAAAGATTTCATAGATAAGACACCAAAAGAATGACCCAGAAAAGAAAAAATTTGAAAAATTGGATTTCATTAAAAAACAAAAATTTCTGGGGAAATCCCTGGAGATCGAGTGGTTAAGAATCCAGGCTTCCACTGCAGGGGGTGCGGATTTGATCCCTAATCAGGGAACTAAGAGACTGCATGCCATGCGGCGTAGCCAAAAAAAAACCTTTTTTTAAATAAAATTTCTCTGGGGAGGAATAAATTAAGAGCTTGAGATGAACATATATATACTATTACACATAAAATAATAGCCAACAAGGACTTACTACATAGCACAGGTAACTATACTCAATATTTGGTAATAACCTATAAGGGAAAAGAATTGGTAGTTAAAGGGGTATTATACCTGTCATTTATTCAAATGGTTCAGGAGAAAAAATTATACATTTTGTACACATAGACACACACAACATACACACACACACACACACACACACATATTAGGGAGCCAGAGAAAGGATAAAGCAAATGTGGTCAAATGTTAACATTTGGAAAATATGGGAGAAGAATAGCTTAGAATTCTTTGTGCTATTCTTGTAACCTTTCTGTAAGTCTGAAATTATATCCAAATAAAAATAGAGAACTATATATAAATATAGGTCCATAAGCTTATGTGTATGAAAGTATGTGTGCATTCTAAATGACTCCTGTTTCAGAGAAGGACTGTAAAGAGATGACACACAGAAAAATATATCAAAGGATAGTCTTCATCTCATCCTACAAACCTGTCAGGTGTACTAACCTGACACAGCCAGATGCCCGCACCGTTAGAAGGCAGTCACAGGGTACGGGGGCCACACCTGTACGGACAACTGAACCCAAGTTCAACACAAGTGCAAGAGTTACTCAATGGAAAGAGATTGAGGATAGTCATTTCAAAAACCAGTGCTGGAAATATTAAATATTCATATACAAAAAGTTGACTTTGAGTCACCCACCACACCAGATAAGAGACTAATATGTAAGTCCCCAAGTCACAAAACTTCTAGGAGAAAACCTTTATGACCCTGCTTTAGGCAAAGATTTCATAGATAAGACACCAAAAGAATGACCCAGAAAAGAAAAAATTTGAAAAATTGGATTTCATTAAAAAACAAAAATTTCTGGGGAAATCCCTGGAGATCGAGTGGTTAAGAATCCAGGCTTCCACTGCAGGGGGTGCGGATTTGATCCCTAATCAGGGAACTAAGAGACTGCATGCCATGCGGCGTAGCCAAAAAAAAACCTTTTTTTAAATAAAATTTCTCTGGGGAGGAATAAATTAAGAGCTTGAGATGAACATATATATACTATTACACATAAAATAATAGCCAACAAGGACTTACTACATAGCACAGGTAACTATACTCAATATTTGGTAATAACCTATAAGGGAAAAGAATCTGATAATGATTATATATCTATATATAAACTAAATCTGGAGAAGGAAATAACAACCCACTGCAGTATTCTTGCCTGGAGAATTCCATCGACAGAGGAGCCTGGCAGGTTGCAGTCCATGGGGTCGCAAAGACCCAGACACAACTGAGCGATTTTCACTTACAAACTAAACCACTTTGTTATATACCCAAAACTAACATACTGTAAATCAACTATACTCAATTTAAAAAAAGAAATCAACTTGAAAAAAAAAAAAATTCTGCTCTTTGAGAGATACTGTATGACAAAATAAAATATTTACAAATCATATATATGGTAATAAGACTTCTACACAAAATTTTCAAAGAACTCTCAAGACTCAATAATAAGATAACAATCCAATATAATAAATGGGCAAGTCATCTGAACAGACAGTTCACCAAAGAGGCTATAGTGAAAGCAAATTAGCACATAGAAAGATACTCATCATCATATCATTAGAGAAATTAAAATAAAGCCATAATGAAGTGCCACCACATGTTTGCTAAACTGGCTAAGTTTAAAAAGAGTGACCTGACCCTGCTGAAAGAAAGAGGAACAGCAGATGGAACTGCACACTGGCACAATCATTCTGGAAAACAGTTCAGCAGTTTCTTAAAAAGTTAAACATACACTTTCCACATGATCCAACCCTTCCATTCCGAAGTATTTATCCATGAGAAATAAAAGCATATATTCATGGCTCATTTGGTAAAGAATCTGCCTGCAATGTGCAAGTCCTGGGTTCGATCCCTGGGTTGGGAAGATCCCCTGGAGAAGGGAAAGGCTACCCACTCCAGTATTCTGGCCTGGAGAATTCCATGGATCTCTTAATGCATTCATACTAAAACTTGCACACAAATGTTCACAGCAGCTTTACTTGTAATTACCAAAAGCTGGAAACAACCCAATGGCCAAAAAAGGAGAAAGGATCACAAAGTCTATCAACAGTACTGACACATCCACACAATGCAATTACTACTCTGCAACTAAAAGGTATGAATCATGGGTATATGAAACAACATGGGTGGAACTCAATACAATTATGCAGTAAAAGATGCCACATAAAAAAAGTCTGTGCTAAAAAGAAAAAAGTCTGTGCTGTATGATTTCATTTATATAAAATTTCAGAATGCAAACTCATCTATGGTAACAGAAAGCAGACACAGTTGCCTGTGGCTGAGAGGCCAGAAGAAAAAGAAGAGAGGAATCACAAAAGAACAAGAAAAACAACTGGGGGTGATAGTTATGCCCATTATCCTGATTGAGATAATGGCTTCAGAGGTGTACACATATGTCAGATTTCATCAAACTGTACATTTCAAATATAAGCAGTGTGTTGTATGTCAATTATACCTCCATTAACCTTTTTAAACATCCATGAGGGTGACACATAAGCCAAAACCATTGTGCATGAATCAGTGAGCTTCGTTGGTTGGAAACACAGCGCAGGAAATCTCTGCAAGGGGAAGCCAACCAAGGGGGAGGAAGCCGGCTGTAAGCACCCTCACTGAGCACTCTAGTCATAAATGATCCCTGGGTTGGGAAGATCCCCTGGAGAAGGGAAAGGCTACCCACTCCAGTATTCTGGCCTGGAGAATTCCATGGATCTCTTAATGCATTCATACTAAAACTTGCACACAAATGTTCACAGCAGCTTTACTTGTAATTACCAAAAGCTGGAAACAACCCAATGCCCAAGAAAGGAGAAAGGATCACAAAGTCTATCAACAGTACTGACACATCCACACAATGCGATTACTACTCTGCAACTAAAAGGTATGAATCATGGGTATATGAAACAACATGGGTGGAACTCAATACAATTATGCAGTAAAAGATGCCACATAAAAAAAGTCTGTGCTAAAAAGAAAAAAGTCTGTGCTGTATGATTTCATTTATATAAAATTTCAGAATGCAAACTCATCTATGGTAACAGAAAGCAGACACAGTTGCCTGTGGCTGAGAGGCCAGAAGAAAAAGAAGAGAGGAATCACAAAAGAACAAGAAAAACAACTGGGGGTGATAGTTATGCCCATTATCCTGATTGAGATAATGGCTTCAGAGGTGTACACATATGTCAGATTTCATCAAACTGTACATTTCAAATATAAGCAGTGTGTTGTATGTCAATTATACCTCCATTAACCTTTTTAAACATCCATGAGGGTGACACATAAGGCAAAACCATTGTGCATGAATCAGTGAGCTTCGTTGGTTGGAAACACAGCGCAGGAAATCTCTGCAAGGGGAAGCCAACCAAGGGGGAGGAAGCCGGCTGTAAGCACCCTCACTGAGCACTCTAGTCATAAATCCTCATTAAGGCTTCGAGGACACCGTGTGCTGGGACTGTCTTCCTCCTGGATAACGATAAGCATTTCTATTAACCAGTTCCCCAGAACAAGCTAAATTAATTTGTTTATCGGAAAACCAAGACGGCTAGTCGAATTTTGCTAACAGCAAGTGTCGAAGGCCCCCACATAAACAGAACAAAAGGTAGGTGCATCTTCCTAAATAGAAGTCAGCAGATACTCCAGTTAAATGGAAGTCAGTGGCACTGGTTCTACCTTAGCCAGACCAGCAAGACGTAGTCCATTCCCCTCTCTGACTCCCTTTAGGAACTGACCCCACTGGATATCAGTGAAGACTCAACAGCACAGCAACGAAGTCTCCTGTGATGTGTTATCAGGAGATCCCACTGAACCTACAGGCTACCTCGTTCCTGACATCAGGAGGCAGCTTGACACTATTTGAAGTTGAGACTTACCTTAAATTGGTCAACTTTCTCAAGCTTTTCCAGATCAGGTACCAATCTCACACCATCTTCCAGAGTTTTAAGGAATTCCACTTGAAACTCTACCATTTCGGTTAAATTTCCAAAGAGCACATCAAGCTGGAAAATGCAAAAGAATTTCATGAATGGCCTATTTCATTAGTGTGTGGATCCTTCATTTGCTTCTGATTTCAAAGTTTTTCTACCCATCTGGTAACACTCCCACCATCAGCATGTGGGCCAACTCTTTCCTCTTGGAGTGCATGCCAAGAGCTCGCCAAGCAATAACTTGACCTATTTATTACAACTAAATGAATTCAAAATGCTCCCAGTTTTGTGTGAGGTCCTCAGTTCTTCCCCATCACCAGGTCAAGCTAAAGTTCAGACGATAGCCACCATACCTCATCCTGGGTGAGAAAAGTTTCTTTCTGAAGAGGTTTTAGATATCTCTCCATGAGACAGTTTAAGTCCTAAGGGTTGAAAGAATATCAGATTAGCACATCTGAAAGTCCATAAAGAATCTAAAAGGAAAAAAAAAATTACGTCCCAAAGGCTAACATTTCAGTCTTTAGGTCACTGAGGTTCACTGAAGCAGAAGCGAGCCAACCCCTTCTCAAAATATTTCAGGCTTTGTAGCCATATGGTCTCTGTCACAACTATTTAATTCTGCTGCTGCAGCAGGAAAGCAGTATAAACGATACTGGGTTGGCCAAAAAAATGGCCATGAGATGTTACAGAAAAACCCAAATGAACTTTTTGGCCAACCCAATACGTAAATGAATGCATGTGGCTGTGTTTCAATAAAACTTTATTTGTAAAAGCAGGCAGAGAGCCAGATTTGGTCCAAGGGCCATACTTGCTGACCTCTGACTTAAAGACTAAGATAGATCATTAAAAACAGATCACACAGTTGTAACATAGACTCAACATAACTAAATTATAGAGAGGCATATGCATAATTATACAGAGACATATGTATATGATCATACAATGATCATAGTTAGGTTAATTATATCATTATAGGAATATATTGCAGATTACATAGTGCTGAAATAACTTTCTAAGCCTGGGGTGCCATGTCAGTAAACCAAAATTTAAATGATTTTTATGTCCCTGTCAATACACCACTTGACCAGAAGTGTAGTATGTATCTAGTCAACCAATATCCAAACGCCAAGCCAATTCTGGGCCTTCTCACCCCAACCAAGGTTGACTTTGTGGCCCTAGCCAATTAGACATTTTCTACTTTTCTCTTCCTTGTTCTTGATTCTTTGTTATGAAAGCTTCTTGCCTTCTGCCCCATCTTGCAACTCTACAAAAGAAGACTGTCCACTTCATGAATAAAGTTTTAAATAAAGATTGTGTCACTTACAAGTTGTCTTCTTTAATCATTTTTAAACAACCATTGTATATATTATAAATGATATAGGAACACAAGATCTAGTTCCGAGAATATAACTAAATGTCAGAACAAATTATAAACAGACCTGATACTCTTCTGCCTCGACTCAAAGTAGATTGTGAAGATACCACTACCTAAACTTGTCAAAACTGAATTCAATTTTAGTATGCGCTCAACAGCCTATTTAGAAAGGTCAGAAGGTTCACTTAATATTCACCATCATCTCCTTTTGGAATCAATCGATCAGCTATTTCCATCAATGAATTGCTATAAGAATAGGCATGCCTCCCTAAAACACAGAAGGAAACTGTAACATTCAGCATCAAGGCCAAGTTCCATAGGAGAGACAAGACACTCTTCATGACCATGATCTGGTTTTGTCATCAGCCAACATCCGTGTATAAACACCCAGCATACATCCTTCAGAGTGATGGCAGGAAGAACGCAAGAGGGAGAACCGGAGAAGACGTACCTTCACGTAGGTGCGCTCTGTCTCCAGGAGCTCGCAGATGACCTTGCGCAGCTTATCAGCATCCGTGAGCTGTCTCATGGTGGCCAGTTGAGGCCCAGTGGAGTCCTGGGGGGACGGGCTCGGGTCAGAGGGGTTCATCTCGTGCAGACTGCGGCAGAACGCGGCCACCTGGTCCGTGCTCTTCAGTGCACAGTTGGAAAGGCAAGACAGACGAAGTTATCCCTTGCTGGAGAGACTGGCCTGACACCTGTCCTTCTGACATTCAGTCTGGTCAATGAGCTGCCACTCATGAATCACAGCGCCCCTTTCCCCAGATTGCACCACACATCTGAGCACTCACTGAATGCTCCAAACAACCCTAATAACAACTCCTGGCCCAGAATGAGCAATCACTGCCTGTTAGGCACTGGTTTGATGCATTTAACCCACTCATGTGATAAATAAGGACGGCGATCATTCTCACTTAACAGTTAAGACAAGGCAAGTCCAGAGTAGTCAAGTAACTCATCCAAGATTGTACAGCTCAGACTTGAACCAGATAGCACGGCTCAAAGCCTGTGTACTTAACTACTGCAAGAAGCTCACCAATCAGAGGAAGATACGGCCAAAGGCATTTCACCCAAAATACAAGGCTAATTCATTACTGGACTCTCAGTTCGGTGCACCACACATATTTACTTTGCAAAGCTGGAGGATGATTTGATAAGCTTGGCGTCTCCCTGTCTCTATTAAAAACTGACATGGAGGCAACTTTCTAGATAACCACAGGTACTTGTATATATGTATTTTAAAGTTTCCATCTCTCCAGCTTCTCCAAGGCAGAAAGATTTCACGACCAACCCCACTACTGCCAAAAGCACCCCCTGCCTCCCCACTCCTCCAGCTAAAACTAAGGGGCATTGGGCCCTGAACAAGACCTCAATAGCTCATTCCCCACCCAACTGTTCAGGATGGGTCAAGCGGAAGTTTGGAATTCTAGAATTTGAAAATTCCAAGTCTCCAAGTTAGGCAAAACAGTTCTTCAAGGCAAGGGCCGAAGAAGGAGCACTGAAAACCCCACGGCATCAGAGGCTCCCCACCTTGGCTGCGTGGGGGAATCACCTGGGGAGTTCTTAAACCTCTCCCGACGCCCAGCACACCCTCCAGATCAAATCAGTCAGAGTCTCTGGGGACTTCTCTGGTAGTCCAGTGGTTAAGAATTCCGCCTGCCAAGGCAAGGGACACAGGTTTGTGCCCTGGTCTGGAAAGAGCCCACACTCCGTGCGGTAACTAAGCCTGTGCGCTGCAACTACTGAATCCCGAATACTGAATCCTAGAGTCCGTGCTCCATAACGAGAGAAGCCACTGCAGTGAGAAGGCCCAAGACCGCAACTCGAGAGAAGCCCCTGCTCATCGCAGCTAGAGAAAGTCCGTGTGCAGCAGCGAAGACCGAGCGCAGCCAAAAATAAACTAATTTTGTTAAAAATCAGAATTTCTAGGATGGGATGTGCAAGTGTTCGTATCTTTTAAAGCTCTCCATGGTATTACTCTACAGGCTATTATTTTGTAGCACAGAATCTATTGATAGTTTATTAACATTTGTTCAAAATGTACCACTCTAGAGATGTTTGATGCATATCTCTTTGAAACAGGTGGTTGCCTTCTTGGGACTTCTCTTTCCTGTTTCTCTTGTCCAGTTTACCCCCAGGATATACAAAGTATTTCCAATAGAGCAAATAAAGAATTACTTTTTGTATCACCCGTCTACTCACTCCTAAGAATGAACATTCTTAGAAGAACAACCTTCCAAGAACATCCATGGGTGCGCAGAGCTGAAAGTCAAGGTTGGCATTTGGTGGAGGGCACGGGAGTCAAACCAAGTGTATCCCATGGGGGCAACATCACTCATTATCAAAGAAAGGCAAATCAAAACCACAATGAGGTACCATCTCACACCAATCAGAATGGCTGCCATCCAAAAGTCTACAAACAATAAATGCTGGAGAGGGTGCAGAGAAAAAGGAACCATCTTACACTATTGGTGGGAATGCAAACTAGTACAGCCACAATGGAAAACAGTGTGGAGATTCCTTAAAAATCTAGGAATAGAACTGCCATATGACCCAGCAATCCCACTGCTGGGCACACACACGGAGGAAAACAGAATTGAAAGAGACATGTGCACCCCAATGTTCATCGCAGCACTGTTTATTGGACAGGACATGGAAGCAACCTCGATGTCCATCAGCAGACGAATGGATAAGAAAGGTGTGGTACATATACACAATTGTTAAACACAGAGAAAGGCTACAGCGGCTAACATTAACCTGCCTTCCCCTCATTAGCATACTGCCTTCCTCTTATTAGCATAGCCCAACGGGAAGAAAGCCCGAAATAAAGACAGGACAAGGACACGGGAAATCAGAACCTAACAAGGATGCATTAGTAGCAATGTCACGACAGGAAAGGGCAGAGCCAGGACCCAAATCCACATGATTATTGATCCAAATCTCTTAAGGTTACACAGCTTATTTATTGATAGCACAAACTCTGGTCTTCCATGCCAGGATGTATCAGTTACCTGTCAATGGCACTATTAAATGCTTCTTATGGAATCAATGTTTCCAACACTGAATATTCCCCAAAGAACTCTCCCTTTGGTGACTGATGAAAAGCTCATCAAAACGGGCCAAACTCTATGACATGTGAATTAGATTCTAATAAGGCTGTTAAAAAAGAAAGACTACTGGTTTTTCATCAAAGCCTGTTTCAGTAGAAATAAAGTTTTATCTAGTTATGTTAGGATTTTACAAACTCAATGTCATCATTAAATATTAACAGTGAAATATGGATTTGTCTTAATAATTAAAAAGGAACGAGTAGATCCATTTTGACAAAAATGTCCATGTCTGTGAGATAATCTTATGGTAACTATAACAGGCAATTATAATAGGCATTGTAACACAGATGTTATGGAAGGGGGGAGGGTGTGCCTCACCAAAATGAAAATTCCATGGGAAGAGAATGACCACAGCTGACAGATTAAGTGCCATGCCCTCCAGCTGATCCCAGACTCTCCTGTGTCACTTTGATTTGTCACTCGCCAACACAACAAATGTACAACTGGCACCTTCGCTTACACAATGCTTCTCCAACTGTCCCAGCTCTAACTGCAGCTGCCTGCCATTTACGTGCAAATTAATATCCTAGCTATTACACACGATGTGTAAATCCATCACCCATCACTGTATTCCCATCAGAGACACAGTAGACCTTTCTGCAGTTTAATCATTTAGACAAGTTGCCATGCAAAATCCAATGTCCTCATCAATTATACCAAGGATGCCCCAGGCCTTAAGATGCCCCATGCCAAGTTATAACCTGGGGACTCTGACACACATCAAAAGCAGGACACTTCCCTTGGTACCCCTGATTCACATGATGGAGACTTGCCATTCTCAGCAGTATTTGGTTATAATAACGAAAGGCATGACATGGCGTTTCTGGGTTTTCATTCCCTCCGCTTCTTCATAAACACTCGGAGGTTTCCATTTTCAAGAGAGTGAGTTTCAAGGAGGGTCATCCAGGTGACGACTGCTTTTCAGAGGGCAAAACAGCACACTTTGTCCTCAGCCTCTGAGCTCTGTGGGGCCCCAGGTTGCTGGAATTCCTGCCTCTGCTGCTAGGAGATGGGTCGGCTTGCTCACGCCCAGACGGGAACTGAGAAGCCAAGAGCAGAGTGATGAGCCTGCTGCGGTGTTGCTGGTTGGTGGTAGAGCCGATGGAGCGCCAGGCTCCCCGTGTCCGCGGCCTGCAGGCCCACCGTCCGCAGATCATCAGAAGACACGAGTGTCACCATTTAGACTCCACAGCCTGCACCTTGTCTCTCCTCAGTTCCTCCTCCCTCCTCAATCCCGTGGTCCCTACTCTCAGGAGAATCTTTTTTTCACAAAAGTTTAATTGACTTTTTTGTGTGTGAAGTTGCTCAGTCATGTCTGATTCTTCGCAATCCCATGGACTGTAGGCTACCAGGCTCCTCCGTCCATGGAATTTTCCAGGCAAGAGTACTGGAGTGGGTTGTCATTTCCTTTTCCAGGGGAATCTTCCTGACCCAGGGATCAAACCCAGGTCTCCTGCATTGCAGGCAGACGCTTTACCGTCTGAGCTACCAGGGAATTATATTGTGTTTGTTTCAGGTATAGAGCAGAGTGATTTAATTATACATATATATGTGCATGCATGCATGCTAGGTCGCTTCAGTTATGTCTTCCGCTTTGCAACCCTACAGACTGTAGCCCGCCAGGCTCCTCTGTCCGTGGGATTCTCCAGGCAAGAATACTGGAGTGCATTGCCATTTCCTCCTCCAGGGGATCTTCCCGACCCAGGGATCAAACCTGCATCTTGTGTGGCTCCTGCATCGCAGGCAGATTCTCTACCGCTGAGCCACCTGGGAATCCCATAGTTCCCTGTGCTATACAATAAATTCTTGCTGTTTATTTATTTTATGTTAAAAAAAAAAGAGTGTGAGTAGAATTGTTGACTTGGCCTATGTCAAGTCCACCACCTCTAAGGCTTGGTACCCTGAGTCTTAATCAAGCCTGTCGGGGAAGCTCAGGTCACGTGGGCCAGGGCTTTGGTGCTCTACACCTAGCCATCTCCCACCAACATCACCTCCAACAGCCAGCTTCCTCACCTTCCTCCTGACACACCCCTCCTGAGCCAGATCCTGGATTATAATAGGAAATCGCTTTAGCATCCCAGGAGACACCTCCAAATTTCCTTGAGTTCTCTTCTGAGAGTTCAGAACCTTAGGCATCCCTTCCTTACAAGACACCTTCTTTCTGTGCTAAGACAGTTATCCAGTGGAGTCTCTGAAGTTGATGGGGGGGCAAAACAGTTTCTCTCCTGGCAACCCTGTTCTCTGATTCAAGATATAAACTCTTAGGTTTATTACAAGGAAATGGGTCAACAAAGCCATAATCTTTCTACTGTCGATTCCATGTTATCTAACTAAATAATAAATTTAATAAAATGAACTTAAATAAGAACACACAGACTAGCCAGTTATATAGTACATATGGGCTTCCCAGGTGGCACTAGTGAGATATTGCCAAGGGGTGTTATTTATAATGCTCTTAGTGAAATTTTTGCTTGGAAACAATTACTTTCAAAGGATGTCATCAAGTTTGAGAATTCTGTTT